GAGTTCTGTACAGTATCGTACCAGTGAACGTGACCTTCAAAATCAACGTTCAACGTTCAACACCTTCAGTGGGCTTGCGGTCACCATACAACTGAATTTGTGTACTTGTCATACTCACCCAGTCCAGGAGGTCGATAGTACAATATTACTGCTTGCGAGGATAGAAAACACAATCGACGTCGATCAAAACTCGGAGCCCCCGATCCCGCCCTCATCATCGTCGAGCTCTCCTTCCGCTATCTCTTTTGCGAGTTCCTTCTCCCGCTCTCTCGCATCCTCAGCATCCGCAAGCTCCTTTCGGTGCGCGTTCATTGGGTAACGCATTGCCTGTACGAATACGAAGATATCAGAGATCACGAACCAGAAATAGTACCCATCGAACACTCACCTTCACGCTCTCATTGTGCAGCTCCAAACAATAGCCAATCCGCTTCGAAAACATATCGCTGACTTCCGGCCCATACGCACTCTTCTGACCACCGCACTCCATCCAACCTTTCTCGTGAACGATCCGGCCTTCGATGACACCGTCGCGGATCGCCTTCCCTACTATGTACTCGGCGTCTTCCTCGGAATCGAGATGTAGCTTCACGCATATGTCGCGCAGAGAGATGCGCGAGTACGACAGCGATAACCGGCGGATACCTGTCTTGATCACGTTTTGTCGCAGGCGTGCGATCAGCGTATAGGTCTTGTCTACCTCAAATATCGCAGCATGCTTTTGCAGTGTGGCCTGAAATTGAGACAAGGAGCCGGTGCGCACAGCTACGGGTCGCGTTAGGAGCTTCGCCAAAAACAACTAACCGCGATACGCACCTTTCACGATGTCAAAATAGCTGATCAAGGCCTTCTCTAGAACCGGGTGTCTGAACAAACTGCGCTCTGGGATATCGCCCATAAGCAGTTCAACCACAATGAAAAGTTTGTGAACTGCTTGGTAGAACCCGGGTGCGGTTTTGGGTTGGGGTGCACGTCGAATCGCCTGTTGCAGGTTGGTATGTGCATCAGTGTAGTCGAGCTTAACGGCTTTAATGCGGCCGAGGTAGTAATGGTATCGTGCGAACTGGGGATTGGAAGCTGATGCGGGGAAAGTGGTTTTAGAAACGAGCTTGTCCGCCTGGTCATACAGGCTGTAAAGAGTGTAGCTGCGAAGAAGGCGATTGATGAGGGAGGCTTGGGTCTCGTCATCGTGACGGAGGGAAGCCGTTCGTTGCGCGGCGAGGAATAGTCTGATAGAAAGTAAGCATCTGATCATGGTTTATAAAGACGACTTACGGGCGGGCGTCAGCCAATTGTCCAACAAGCTCGTAGGTGCGCTCGACGGCGAACCACACTTTTGCCGCGATGGGGTCCATACTTCTGCGATTGAGCTGTTGTATGGTCTTGATGGTGTTCTGTGCGAGCTCTTTCGCCTTGGTATACGTACTCGTCGAGGTGAGAAGATGGTGGAGGATCAGAAGACGTATGTAGATCTCGACTTCCGGGACAGGCTCAGAAGTGACCGGTTTCGATGGTGGTGCAGGCGAAGGGTCGACGTCCATAGAGTAGTCCTCCGAAGAAGGGGGGGATAGCCATGTTAACAAAGCGCTCTTCACTGAAGAGTCTGGGAACGGATCGTCAAGTTTCGGAAGAGGACGAGCGCGCACCACACACACCTTTGGGATAGACCTCAGTCACAGCGTCCCAGAGTACCTTGTCGTCTAGGCGTCTTCGAAGCGCGGTCAGAGAACGCAAAACACGGTGGGTAAAGCGAGGCTCCAGTGTAGACACGGCCTTTTCGATAAGAGTGACATTGGATTTGATCTCTGCAACCGGGGTGGGGGGAGTAGGCTTCGGTTTCTCCTCGGCCTTAGCGTCATTTGTCTTCTCGTCCACCGGTTTCATATCAACGTCGGCCATGTTCGTGTCGCGGGGGAAATGGAGAGGTGGATAGATGAAGGTCGCGTCGAGATGACGCGTCCCCGCGACGCGTGCAATATATACCAAATAAATTGGCTGACCAACTGTACCGGGGCGACCGTTGGCAATGACTCTGTAGCTCAGCGGTTTAGAGCATGCGATTGCAGCTGGACGCTATAATCGCGGGGTCTCGTGTTCAAATCACGACAGGGTCTTTTTTCCAGGGTAACCGGTAAGTAAGAGAACGTGCACTGCCACTGCACGTGCGCGAG